CCCGGAAAGGGATATAGACATGTGGAGCATGGACACGTTTTCACGATACCCAACTGGGCAACACCTCACGAAACATCCCACGAGACACTCACGAAACATCCCACGAGACACCTCACGAAACATTCCACGAGACACCTCACGAAACATTCCACGAGACACCCCGCGAGACACCCCGCGAAACATTCCACGAGACACCCCACGAAACATTCCACGACGACAGGCAACCACTCAACCAAGGCGGTGTGGTCGTGCTGGGGAGTGGTCGTGCTGGGGTGTGGTCGTGCTGGGGGGTGGTCGTGCTGGGGCGTGGAGCACGACCACCCCCCCAGCGCACGACCACCCCCAGCACGACGCACCGAAATTCCTTTGCGCGGGGCGCTTTTCCGCGTCGCGGTCGGCTCTGCAAAACAAGCGTTTCGCTCGAGACATCCTCGGCAAACTCTGCGGAGCAAGCGTTTCGCTCGAGACATCCTCAACACACGAAAAAGTGGCCCGCACCCTGTGATTTATCGATCGGGATTTCAAAAACAAGCGTTTCGCTCGAGACATCCTCAAATTTTAATTCGCCAGCCTCCTTCGACCTCGATATTTATCAGGGAAAAAATTCGCCAGCCTCCTTCAAGTTGGCACCGGGGGATTAGGTTTACCAACTAAAAGAGAACCCTGGGCCCCCGCCCTTTCCGGGAAAAAGTAGATTCTCAAGAAGATTCTACTTTTTCTACTTTTTCGCGCCTCTCGTTATTTCGCATGAAACGCAAGGAAACCTTGAGATGAATGCTAGTCGCTTTTGAAAACTCATACTCTCGTGGGGCAGCGGCTGAGGAAACCTGAACGGCCTGAGAAAAGGAATTCCCCGTCGTGCCAGGCCATGCAAATATTCTCTTGGAGAGATACTGCACTCATGCGCCGCAGCTCTTTCTTGAACTGCTTTGTATGCCAATTGCACACCAACCTCTTCGGCAGCTTCGCATTGATGCGTTTCAACGTATGCCGCACGCGATTCTCATTGGCCACGTGCCGTTTCCTGTGGTCTTTCTCCTCACCATACCAGCAAAAGAAAAATTTATTTGCATTGGGGCCTGCAATGACGAGAGCCTGCCACTGCTCAGACCACGCGAATAACTGAGACGGCATTTGCATGTCCGCACAACCCAGCGGCGCTAACATATTTTTGATTATAAATCGAGTCGAATCTTCTCCGCCGAAATCACGTAGAGATAACATGTGCTGAAAAGCCTCGTCCACGCTACTGGCTTTGGCAATGCCAACCAATGCTTTCAATTTATCCCCTTCGAATGTATTGAGCACTGCCGCCGCGCACGTGGCATTCTGTCCTGGGCCAACGCCTACAAAATACCTTGAATCGGACGTCTTCCCGTCACCACATGGCCCCTTATGGTTTTGGATAAACGAGAAGACATCATCCATCTCTGTCAAGCGCGGGGCTTCGCTCTCCAAGAAAAAGGTTGCAACCGAGCGGCTTCTGCCCGACCACACCAAGAATGTTGTGCGAATCGCGCCCATCTTGTCCTTGAGAGTCCGCGCGCCGGCACGCAAGCGATCATACAACGGTAAAAACCCTTGAATGTCATCTTCCAGATGAACGTTGTGGCGCTGGCTGTGGATAAAGTCAGATGCTAATGAGCACTCTGGAACACCCGGCGTCATCAATTCGCGCACCCGGTTCCTCCTTAGCATCATGCGATGAAACTGGGAGGTGCTGATTTCACCGCCGTCGACCGTGGTCTCTAAGACAAAATCTTTAAATTCTTGCAACAGCGTTTCACTGTGCTCACCATCCTCGCCCTTGTGTACTTTGAAAGCTGCCCTTAGCTCACGGCCCATGATGTAAACCAAAAGAATGTCATCCATCAAGCCTTCCCAATCATCACGCCGCTCTCCTGGGTTATCGAACAAGGCTTGGTACGAGCCTCTAGAAATCGCGCCCATTTTGCTCCTTTTGAGAACGTTAGCTGCATGTGCCCATTTGACTTTCCCCGGGTTGTTCAATGCAGCCTTGCTGACCTCGTCGAGCCAAGGGCGACGCCCCGTCTTGTTGATTGCTTGCGGCGCTAGCGTGACACTCACAAGCTGGTAAACATCTGCTGGGAGATGCGCAGAGAAAAAGTGAAGTACGTGCGCTTGCTTTGCTAAAGACTTCCACGTGACATGCACCCTCGATTTTTCTAACCAGGACGTCTTGATCGCGCACTGGCGCGCTTCTGACCGAGCACGAATGCAGCTATGAACTGTCTGCGCTCGCCTGATAGATCCACAATCAAGTATCCAATCAAATCCAGAGGGCGCCGCCATGCACGTAGAAGGAGCGAAATAACAAGTCCTCGCAAACGCAAAAGGTTTTACAGGTTTGGGGGGTTTTCTTGGTTTCGGTTCCCCGACGCTCCAAGACAGCCCAAGAGGCCCCCAAGATCGCCCCAAGACGACCCAAGACGGCCCCACGACGACCCAAGAGGCCCCCAAGACGGCCCACGAGGCCCCGAGGTTCTTGGTTTCGGTTTCCCGACGCTCCAAGACAGCCCAAGAGGCCCCCAAGATCGCCCCAAGACGACCCAAGACGGCCCCACGACGACCCAAGAGGCCCCCAAGACGGCCCACGAGGCCCCGAGGACGGCTCCAAGAGGGAGCCCATACGGGGGACCCGAACGAACATATCCAGCCCTCCGCCAGAAGGGCGCCCAGGAAGCCCCAACGAGGCTCCCAAGAGACCCCAAGAGCCTCCCAAGAGGCCGCCAAACTACCCCCGAGAGGCTCCCGAGAGCGCTCGTCGTCGTCGTCGTTCAGGGTCGGCGGCACCGGCCGCAAGGCCTCTCCAACAACAGTTCGTCGCAAATGCACAAAGATATTTGAGCCAAGAGCCAAAATGGCTACGACATGTTCAATACAATATTAAGGCAAGCAACGATTGCAATACGCCCCAGCACCCGGGAAGGACCTCTTGGGGGCCGCCTTGGGGTGGCATTCCTAAGGAGCTGTCGCCGTGTATGTCTATCCCCGTATTCTGAATCAGGACCGGCCCTGGGCCGGTCGGGGCGTCTTGGGGGCTTCTCTGGGGCATGCTGGCGGGCTCCGGGGTTCCTTTGGAGCGGAGGGCTCGAAAACTCAAATCCAGTTCCCCCTCTTGGGGCCTTCCTGGGGCCCTTTTGGGCCGTCATGGGATCCTCATGGGGGCCTTGGGCTCTTGGGCCGTCTTGGGGCGACCTTGGGACATCTTAGGTTGTCCTGGTCGCTGCAACGGTCCGAAAGGCAAACATGTTCCTCGTTTTTTTCTTCTCGCTGCGGGAAGAGGCGCCGAGGTGGCCCCAAGACCGCCTTGGCCCCAAAACCGCCAGCCAACCAACCAACCAGCTAGCCAACGCGCCAACCAGCCAACCAAACAACCGGCCGCTCCAGTTTTCAATGCGTACAGCCACAATGGTGCAAAATACATGGGGAAATCCATATCCAGAGCACAAGCCCTCCGAGACGAAAAAGTAGATTATCAGGAAAAAGCTACTTTTTGAAAGTTTTCGCGCATCTCGTTATGTCGCATGAAACGCAAGGAATCCTTGAGATTAATGCCAGCCGCTCTTGAAAACTCGGCGTCCTCTTAGGGGTTTTCTTGGGCTGCTGCGGGCCCCCCGGCTTCCTCCTCGTTCTCATTGTTCTCTCCTCCTCCTCCTCTTCTCCGCCTCCTCCTCCTCCTCCTCCTCATCCTCCTCATCATCATTCTCATCATCATCATCATCATCATCATCATCATCATCATCATCATCATCATTCATCATCATCATCATCATCATCATCATCATCATCATCATCATCATCATCATCATCATCATACGCGTTTTCAAAGCAGTGCTGAAGGTGTCGATGGCGATGTGCTGTGCCAGGGGCTGTGCTGTGTTGTGCTGTGCTGACTTTGAATTTGCCATGCTGCGCTGAAGTGTGCTGTGCTCAAGTGCGTTGTGGATCAACTCGCCCGTGGCCTCCGAATCCTGGCTGAACTGACTTGGATCTTAAGCCCGAGCTGTCTGAATGCAGAACTCGCCCTGGAGCTGGTCGCAATCGAAACATCCCACGAGACACCTCACGAAACATCCCAGCTCTGTTGCGCTGTGGATCAACTCGCCCGTGGCCCCCGCGCTCTGGCCGAACTGATTTGGATCTTAAGCTCGAGCTGTCTGAACGCATACCGCGCCCAGAGCTGGTCGCAATCGAAACGCGCGCGGGTTCTCAACCAGCTCGAGTTCAAGATTCGATTCAGTTCCGAAGCGGGGCGAAGCAAGAGGGGGCGAACCCGAACCGAGGCAAACCACACCGACAACGGACGGAACATCCTACAAAAGACCCCGCGACGGACGACGACGACGAGCACGCCGGCGCAACGACAGCGCGGACGAGGACGACTACGGCGGCGAGAACGGCGGGGAGTTTCCAGGCGGGGATAGCCTCCTTATCCCCGCCTGGAACCCTCGAATGGGGTGGATTATCTGCGATCCTTCGCGCGGGCGACGACGAAGACGGGGTTCGAGAGATCAAGGGGGGAAGATTGCATTTCCCGCCGCTCTGTCGGGCCAGCTGCCCATATCTGCGCGGCGAAAGCAGGAGCGGCAGAGCCGGGCGAAAGACGCGGGGGCGAGGGCTGACCCTGAGGGTGCAATGCCCAAGCCTGCGCCGCGCGGAGAGGAGGAGATGCGAACGGGGAAGTCGGCTGACCCTGGGGGTGCAATGCCGAGCAGGATGAGAGCGAGAAGCGCGGCCCGGGGCGCATCCGGCTCCCAGTGCACTCCAGCTCCCGCCAAGCAGAGCAGGGACAGACGAGGCCTGACCCTGGCGGTGCAATGCCGCGCAGCACAGAGCCGACCCTGAAAGCGCAACGCCTGGCGCGGTAGAAGGAAGACAAGGGCTGACCCTGAGGGTGCGATGCCCAGCGGAGAGAACGAGGCGGAACGAGAAAACCGGCCGACCCCGGGGGCGCAATGCCGCGGTCAGCGGTGGACTCTGTAGGCACACCAGTCGGAGATCTCCCTCATCCGGTCGAGCTCGCTCCCGGCCCTGTCCGCGGCGCCCATCTGCGCCGAGCCCACGTGGCCGAGGAGGTCCTGCACCTCGCTGGCTTCAAGGGCGAAGACCGCCGAGTGCAAGGAGTCGCAAAGCCAGGCGGCGTCGCCGTCTCGAACGGCCTCTGGAGGTCGAACGAGCGCGATCCAATGTCGAGGGCATGGCTGGTGCAGGATGACACCCAAGGCGTGGTTGCCGTTGAAGACAGCCAGACAGCTGTCGGAGTCCCCCACGGCGAGGATGGCGTCCTGGTGGTCCGCGCCCTGCAACAAATCGAAATGGCACCCGCGCTCTGCGAGGTTCTGACGCAACCCCCCGTCGTCGAAATCCCCCTCGGGGTAGAGTCCGTCTCTCGCGCCCTGCCGGAACTCCTCGGCCGACAGCTGCGGCATGCCCGCGTGGCCCAGGCAATGGTTCACCGCGAAGAAACCGCACGTGAGGCCCAGCTGGGTGCCGGACGCGGGGTCGACCTCGCCCATGAGAGGATTGTTGAACCACGCGGGCGCGCGCCTTCGTCGGCCGATGGCGCGGCCGAGCAAGGAACAGTGCCAGCCGCCGGCGCTGGCCGAGGGCGCCGACGGCAGGGTCGACTGCGTCGAAGAGGCCGGCGCCGCGCCAGGAGGCGCGCAGGCCCGCTCGCCCTCGTCCCCGGCGCCCTCGCCGCGCGACCGCTTCCGCCGCGGCGGAGCGCCCCCGGGCTCGTCGGGCGGCGCGGTCGGCCGGTCCGTCTTCGAGCGCAGTTCCTCGCGCGGCCTCTTGCCCCGGAGTCTCCTCCGCGGGGCCGCGTCGGGCCTCGCCTCGGCCGAGGCGCTTGCGACGGGCCGGGCGCAGGCGGCGCCCGCCCTGATCCAGTCCTCGGCGATATACAAGAATCTGCCCTGGCGGTCGGGGTCCAGCGGGCACTCCGGCACGTCCTCCCAGGCCGGCGCCCCCAGCTCCTTCTGCGCGCGCAGCATCCTGCGCGAAGTCCTCCTGCTGAGCGTCGCAGCCGCGCCCAAGAACTCGATGAGGTAGTCCGGCGGCCCTTGCTCGAGGATCGACCAGTCCAGATCGCCGGTGCTCTCGTCGAGCGGGAAGTTCTGCAGCAGCATCCACTCCAGCTTCCTGGCTCTTCCAAGGATCATCCAGACGTGCTGGAAGTACTCCCCCCGGCGATCCTCGCCCTGCATCGTGCCAGGCCGAAAGAGGTCGACGACGAAACCTTTGGGCTGGCCCTCGGGCCCGCGGATAGTGCGGCCCTGGATGCTCTGGAAAGTGAGCTGGTCCTCGGGCGCCCAACTGAGCTGCGTGCGCGCGACCTGCAGCCCCTTCTTCTGCTTGCTCTTGACGACGAACTGCTTGGCCCGAGGCGCGCCCGGGTGATTCACCGTCTGCACGCGCGCGACGGGCAACTCCCACTCGTCCTGCACAGGCTCCAGATGGAACACGCCCCGCTTGCCCAGGCCAGTGTAGTCCACCTGGTCGAGATCTGCAAACGCCCGCGTCGCGTCGCACTGCCGACGCGAACTGATATGGATCGCAAGGTCGCGCTGCCTGAACACGCGAGCAGCTCGAGCTCAAGATCCGATTCAGTTCTGGATTCCAAAGAGGGGCCTCGGTCCCGCGGGGGGGCCCAGCCCCCTTCCCTCGCCCCCCGCAGTCGCGGCCCCCCTGAAGTTCGGCGCGGTCGTTTGCAGAGCTCGCCAAGGGGCCCACCGTGCTTCCGTCCCAGCGAATCTCGAGGTGCACGGGGAGATAATCGCAAACAACGAATCCTCGCTGCCAGCAAGGGTGATTCGGCGAGGGCCGTTCAGAACCGCCGCCGAGATTCTCCCCGAAGCCGAATCGCTCCCGCGGGTGAAAGCGGATGCCCACGACCTCGCCCGTGGCCTCCTGCACCAGCTCCGGCCCCATGACCTTCTTCGTGAGCCGCCCTCGCATGCCCAAGTAGGCCGCGCACATGCCCGGCAGGCCGTTGCTCTTGGAGAGGTTCATGAACTTCAGCGCCTCGAGGTACATGTCTCGGTCCTGGTGGTGCTTGAAGCGGTCCACGGCCTGGAAATAATAGACGAGCTGCCCGCGCGCCCCCGAATGCGCCGCGCTGAAGCCGTGGCGACGAAGATCCGGCCGGCCGTCCTCCCCGTTGAGCAAGGCCCTGGGGCCAGGGCAGACCCTCGCGGAGGCGAGCACGTGGAGCTGCTGCAGGCGCGCGACCTGCTCCCACTGGATCGCCGCGCGAGCGCCGAGGGCGAAGAAGCCCCGAACGCCCTCCAGTTCGTAGTCCATGGACATCCTCGGGTCGTCGGGGCCCCGCTGGACGCGATCTCTGATCTTCGCGCGCAAGTCGTCAGGCACTCTCGCCCCGCCCGGAGTGCGCATGACCTCGAAGAGCAGCGGTAGGTCCTCGTCGAGAAAGCGGTGCGTGCCAGTGAAGACGACCACGTCGGAGGCCATCTTCCTGAAGACCTTCCAGCCGTCTTCGTCCTCGTCCGTGATCTTCCGCGGCACGCCGGGGACGCGCGCGCGGGCCAGCAGGGCTTCCAGCAGCGTGTGGCTGCAGACCGGGTTGATCTGCATGAAGTCGCCCATGATGGCCTGCGCGGGGACCTGGCCGAAGGGCTCTTCGATGGCCCTCGCCACGCACAGCCGCAGCAAGTCCTTGCGGCCGAAAGTCGCGCGGCGACTCAGGCCCGCAAGGAGCGGGGGGGACGCCAGGCCGATCTCGTCGGCGAGGAGGAGCACAAGGTACTCCCACTCGGCCTCCAACTTCTTCTTCGCCCTGGTGTTGGGTTTCAATTTACTCGCCGCGAGAGACTGCTTCCGCGTCAGCTTCGCCGCCGCGTGCATGGTCTTGCCGCCGAGGATGCGGGCGGCGCTGTTGGCCGCGGCCACGAGCTTCAGGCCCCTGTGCCCGAAGAAACGCACGACCACCTTGTTGACCACCTCGGTCATGCAATACGTCTTCCCCGAGCCCCCCGGGCCGTGCAGGAAGACGCGGCGGACCTGCACGTCTCTCGAGGCCGCTGCGAGGCCCGCGGCCGTGGACAAGCTGTCCAAGCCGTCCGTCTCGAGGGCCTTCTGCCACAGTTGTTGTATCGGTTGAAGGAGGAAGAGCGTCACCAGGTACTGCTCCTTGCTCTTCCAGACCCCAGACTCGGCGATGAGGGTCAGCGCCGCCTGCAGCGGGGAGATCGGCACGTCCTCCGGGCCGAGGCGCCTCGACGGCGCGGGCGCGTCGGAGAAGGCCGCCGCGGCGACGGGCAGATCGGCGCCCGCGGCCTCCAGATTGTCGTCCTGGGCGGCCCTCTGTTCGCGGATCGCGTCCTGGTTCTTTTTGGCGGTCTGCACGTCAGCAGGAGTCATCGCCGCCAGCCGAGGGGCGCGCTCGGGCACGGCGCAGGGCTGCCGAACGCAGGCGTAAGCGCGGCGTTGCAACTGCAAGAACGTTTCCATCAAGGCTTTCTTGTGCGCTCCCACGCGACTGCTCTTAGCCGCCTGGGCCGCCGCCGTCCGGTGCACGACGTCGTCGAACTCTTCCTCTGCCAGCCTCCAGCGAGGTCTCATGCCCTCCCTGTCCTCTCGCGCGTCTGCCACTTCCTGGCGCTCCTCCGCGGAGGAATCTTCACCTGGCAGAGCCTCGTCCAGGCCGAAGGCCCCGTCATCGTCGGAGCGATCTCCGCCGAGCTCCTCCTCCGCCACCGCGTCGCTGGGCCCCCTTGCCGGCTTCGGCAGCCCGCGGGCCTCGGCCATGTACTCCAGGCGGGCGGCCACCTCCACGTGCCGAACGGCGAAGAACATCTCGGGGGTCAGCTGGTCGTCGTGAACTCCAGGACAGGCGCAGGCGATCGACTCGCCCTCGCGGGCCGCCCGCTCGTCGAGCCGAGCGCGCTCCTCCTCCGAGCCGGCGACCCCCAGGCGCCGCCCGTCGTCGCCGCGGACGTCGCCCGCGAAGCGCAGCACGGCCCAGGCGAGGTCCACCGGGAGGGCCATGCGCCAGCACACCGCTCCGCGCGACGGCCGCTGCAGATCGGCGCCTGCGACGGGGGTCGGGATCTCGCGGCGGCGGCACCACGTGCCGTCCAAACCAGGGTCCGTCGCATGGCGGCCGCCGCAGAGCAACGGCAGGAAACTCTCGTGGACCGGGCCCCCGCGCGCGGTGCCGGGGAGATGCCAGTAACGGATGGCGGTTGTGTCGTGCAGCACGGGGCATTGCCGCGAGCGCTGCAGGGCCTGGTCGGCCCGCTTCGCCAGGACGAGCTGCTCGGCGCGATGCGCGCGCCAAGGTCCCAGGAAGGAGAGAGGGGCGCGACCCCTGGCCCGCCCCCCCTCCCTGCTGCGGGACGCGCAGCAGAAGTGCTGGGCGAAGTGCACCTGGCGACAGCTGTCCGGCCCCGGGCACGCATGCGGCCTCAACAACACCTGCTTGAAACAGGCGTTCGTCTCCGGGTCCTTCTCTTCGGTCGGCATCGTGAAGCCGGAGATGTACGGCGCGGCCGGCGCGGCCCGCAGCTGCTGGACGTAGTCGGCATGCTTCCCGTAGTGGCCGGCGAAAGCGTACTCGTCTGGCGCCAGGGCGTTCGGGTCCCCGGGCACGACGCGCACCCACATGCCGTAGTCGTAATACGACATGGAGGCCAGGGGAGTCTTCGCCGCTCGACCCGACGCGCCGAACTCGGCGGAGCCGCGGTGCAAGTAGTCGTCGTAGTAGCTGTTGCTCTTCAGGCGGACCCCCGCGTTTCTCTGCTGCGGCTCGTCCGTGGCCTCCTCGGCCAAGGAGGCGCCGCGCTCCCCGCGCGCCGCGAAGGCATCGTCTGTGGGCGCGCCGCCCGCGGCCGCGACCTGCGTGGAGGCAGCAGAACCGAGCTCGGCGGCGACGCTGGCCGGCGGCGGCGCCGGGCGCGCAGCTGACCCTGCGGGTGCAATCGCTGCGCGGCGCCTCCGCGGCCCAGCCGGACTCTCGCCGCGTGTGCCCAGCGGCGACGCATGATTGCGCGGTGCCTCTGGGGTGTCTGAAGCCTCGTCGGCGGCGTCGCCGTCGGCGCTCTCGTCGCGCTCCTCGGGCTCGCTGTCACAATCGTCCGGGTCAGTGGCCTGGCTGTCCACTTCCGCGGCGTCGAGGAGCACCGTGGCCTCGTGCAGCTGCTCGCGCTCGTCGAACCCCTGCCGAAGTCGTCGGCTCTCGAAGGCCAGCCACATGGCGTTCTTCATCATCAACTGCCAGGTGGAGTGGGAGCGCAGCACCTCGCGTCGGGTGAGCATCTGCATGACCATGAGGCAGTTCCCCTTCACGATGGCCTGGTTGGCAGCGGTGGCCTGTCGGATCAAGCGCCGCCGAGCCTCGTCCTGGACCTGAGGCAGGTCGAGCTTAAGATCCAAATCAGTTCGTTGAGGCGTCGCCCCTGGCGTTCGAAATCTGCGCGAGCTGATCTGGACGTGAACGTTGAAATGCCGAGGCGCAGAGCAACAAATAGCCACGCATCCAAGGAGAGCCGGGTTCCCGTCAGGAACTTGCGCGCCCGGGCAGCTCGAGCTTAAGATCCAAATCAGTTCGTGGAGAGGTTGCCCATGACGGCCGACAGCGTCGCGAACTGATTTGGATCTTCAGCTCGAACTCCCTGGGCCCGCAGATTACAATAGGGAGCCCGGCCCCGCGCCGTCTCGAGGCGCAGAGAACCGCGCGAAATCAAAACGTGCGTTCTCGACATTTGATCTTCACGTCCGCACGGGGGGCGGGCGGGCAGCGCCTTGAAACCTGCGCAGCTGGTCAGAGTCAGGCTTCCGATATCAGCGCGAACTGATTCGGGTCTTAAGCTCGAGCTCCCCGCCCCCTCGATTTTCTGCGGAATTCCCAACGCCCTCCGACCTTGCTCAGCGCGGGCCCCCTCGCCGACGGCTTCGGCACCGGCGCTGCCCCCTCCGCCTCCGCCGCTGCCGCCGCCTCTTCCTCGGTGCGGAGCCGCTCCTCCAGGCGCCGAATGCCGTCGCGAACCGCGACCAGGAGCGGCGCGCAGGTCATGTTCGGCTTCGTGGAGTAGTCGCAAGCGTAGAACATGGCCTGAACGGACTGCTTCATAATGGTGACGGTCATTGCTTTGATACTGCGCCTGAAGCGCTCGGCCGGGCCCAACCTCAGATACGCCGCCCTGCGAGCGGCTCGCTGTTGCCGGAGCCTCATCTCCGCCTCCTCATATTCCAGCTCTGGTTTGTTGGCCCTCTTGCGGGCGGCCGCAAGCTTCTCCATGTTCGCGGCGAAGCTTGCCTCGAACTTCTCGTCCTCCTCCGCCTGGAGCGAGGCCTCGTCGTCCGCCGAGAGGGGCGGGTCGCGCAGCCCGTCCCGCATCTGGACATCAAATCCGTCAATGAAAGTGCGCATCATACTCTGGAAGTCCACGTTGGAGTTCAGCGCCGTCTGGGCCACGCCGTTGGAGCTGCCTTCCATCGGGTTCCAGCGAATGGGCATGACCAGACCCTGCTTCCCATGGTCGGGATCGAGGTTGACGACCGGGCCGAGTTTGCGCCCGGGGCGCAGGGGCACGGGCGCGCCGTCCTCGTCCAGGGGGAACATATCCGGCTCCGGTTCCCCTGGCCCCCGCGGCAGCACGAGGTCTTTGCCGGTCCGCGCCAAGGTCACCAGCTTCTTGGGGCGCTTCTGCTGCGCCGAGGAGTCCCCGCCGTCGCCGACGCGGAGCCAGAGCTTGACGAAGTGGCAGAAGTTGAAGCGGCAGTGCCGCGCGAAGCGCATGGACTTCTCGACAACGTACTTGAAGCACGTGTCCTTGTGCTGGTGCATCTGGCCCACGGCGATGTCCTGGCGGTAATCCTCGGCGTAGCGCGCGGCCCAGGCCGCCGCCTCCGCGCTCCGGCCCGCCGCGGTCTCCAGGTCGTCGCCCGTGGTCGGGCGCAGCAGCCTGTAGTGCTCGAGGCGACAGAGCTGGGCGCCCGTCTGGGGCACCATGTATTCGCTCATGGGTCGCGCCTCGGGCGCCAAGGACATCCGATGCCGTCGGAGGTGGTGGTCCTCGAATGGGGGCTCTGTGGCCAAGAAGACGCGCCGTTTCTCCGGCTCTTCCACGTCGTGCTCCAGCTCCCCATCCATGCGGCAATCCCGCTGCAGCTTCTCGGAGAAGGGCGTGTTCCTGGGCTCGGGCGCCCGGTCGGGGTCGTCGGTGAGGAGCAGCGGGAGCACGGCCGCTGAGTCCAGCTGCATGGACTGCACTGCGGCCAAGGTCTTCTCCTGCCACACGCGGAGCCGCTGCCGGATCTCCTCGGTCTCCCTGTTGAGCACGCACCGGAGCCACTGCTCGGACTGCGCGTGCACGAACCACAGGAGGATGTGCGGGTGGATGGACAGCCGGGCCTGCTCCTCGATGGGCCCGTGCAGCGCCGCCAACATGAGGAAGGCTCCGCCCGTGCACGAAGTGGCGAAGCCATCGGGGAAAGCCGCCCCGTCGCAACGGCCGTTGTGGCGCAGTGGGCGTCCCAGGGGCCGGTGCCCAGCACGTGCTCGCAGAAAAGCTGCATGCTAAAGATGAAGAAGCGGGCCTGGGCCACCGGGTCCTGCGCCACGATCTGGAGCATCTTCCGCGCGGAGGGCATGTCCGGGGCTTCCGCGAGGAGGTCCACGGCGCGGGTCTCGCAGCCCCCCGCCGCGTGCAGGGCAAGCAAGATGGGGCTCCGCACGTCCGCGACGTTCGGAGTCAGAAAGCCACCGGCGCCGCCGAACATGAGGGCGAAGCCGTTCTGCTCGTGGCGCAATTTCGCGCGCGCGCCGTCCGAGCCGAGAACTTCTGAGGTGAACACCATGAGCTCGGAGAGCGCGTCTTTGACGTCCTGGTCCACGGCGGGGGACCGCATCGCGTCCTTCAGGGACGCATTCGGCCCTAGGCTCTGCACGGCGGCATCGAGCTTCTCCGTGGAGGCCGCGCAGATCTTCCCCAGGCGCTCCTGGAAGCCCGTTCTGTGCACGTGGCCCCTGGCCCTGCGGATCTGCTCGATGCGGCGCCCGGCGTCGTAGTAGCAGCAGATGAGATCGCGGTCGGCCCCCCGGCGCGGCTGCTCGGGCGCGACGTAGCGCCGGCACGCCTCTCTGCACTGCTGGCAGGCGCAGGAGCCGCCGGAGGGGCGAGACTGCCCGGTCGCGCCGGGCCCGTCCGCGGCGGTCTCGACCCACGCCTTGCAAGCGGCGGCCGCGGCCAAATCTTCGGGCGTGACCTGGTACACCAGCTCCTCGCGGAGCAAGTGCATTGACGTGCACTGATGGAACGACATGGGCGCAGTCCTGGACAAGCCGAACACGCCGTCGCCGTACGGGAACTTGTCGGGGAAGCACATGGACCAGAGCTCGGGGCTGTACATCGAGAGCGGCTGTGCGGCAGTGCCCTGGGCATACCCTTCCATCGCGCCTCCGGGAGCCGCCGCCCGTTGGCCCGTCTCCTCCAGGGCCGTCACCGTCTTGTGGTGGTGGTGGATCCTGTCCGCCAAGCCGCGATCCAGCATGCCTCTGGCGCTGACCTGAAGCTGCTTGATGAGGCGCCGGCGCGGGTAGCCTATGCCGGAGGCCTCCTCGCGCATGGAATCCTGCAGAGCCTCGAGCTCACCGTGCACCTTGCGGATCGCCTGGAGCTCGTCGAGGTCGCCGCCGGTCGCGGCATCGGCGCAGAAAGACATCGCCGGGAGCGCCTCGGCGGGGAAGTCCGGGTCGGGCAGCGCGGCGTTGAGATCGTTCTCCCCCTCCTCTTCCTCTGCCTCGTGCTCGGACGCGCACTCCTCCCCGTCCACCCTGACGACTTGCTCGTCGGCCCCGGCGCAGGCGTCGGCGGGGCCCTCCAGCCGGTGCTTCAGCTGCTCGGAGACCTCAATGGGGATTGCGATGCTTCGCACGGCCTCGGGGACGGCGCCGGCGTCGCTCATGACGGCGTCTGCCCTGTCCTGGTTGCAGGTCATGTCGTTGTACGAGACCGAATGGGAGGTCAGGAAGCTGGCGGCCCCCATGTATTCGCCCTTGCGCACGTTGGCCCACCGGGCCTTGCTGAGGTCGTCCACGTCGGCCCCTGCCAGGGCAATGACGACGGACTCAGCGAGGAATCGCTGCGCCTCGGGAGGGGGGGCGGGCAGCTCGGCGCTGCGCAGGAGATCCACCTTGCGAGACGTCTCCAGGCGCGCCGCCTGGGCCACGCGCGCCAGCAACGGCAGAAATCGCCTTCCCCTGGAATCCAACATCTGACTGCTGGCGCGCGCCCCCAGGAGCGCGGCTTGAGACCGCCCCAAACCTTCGCCTGCGGGAAACAGATAAAGTTCCCAACGAGCCCCCCTGCCGTTCGTCTCGAGGGCCTCTCTTCTCGGGCTCGGCGATGATCTTGTTCACGCACACGCGGCCCCTGGCTAGCGATCGCAGCTCCATGTCCCGCAACGGCTCGCCGCCAGGCCGGAGAGGAAAAGGGACTCGGCCGATCCAGTTGTCGTTCGCCAGGGCGTACATTGGCATTTTCACTGCCGGCGCGCCCTCCAAGGTCTTGCCGCAATCGAAACACACTTTCACCAGCGGAGCCCGCCCGTGCTCGTCGAGGCTAAGGCAGGGCAACCTGCGAACGTGCAGCAGCCACCGCCACTCGGGCCTGCGCGGGTGCGGCACGCTGGAGGCCCACAGCTCGTGCCGCGGGATCAGCGGCCACCTCGCGGCATAGCGCTCCACGGAGAGGAGCGCGTGGACTTTCGCGGCGGCCTCGGGCCGCACCGCGAAGCGAGCCCGGCGCGGCGGGGCCGCGTCCTCGGCGGGCGGCGGCTCCGGGTGCCCCCGGGGGTGACGCGCAGGCGCGTCCGCCGGCACGCCTTCCGCGCCGTGCCCCTGGGCGCCGTCCGCCGCGGGATCGCCGGCGCCCGCTGCCAGCTCGGGGTCCACGGGCTCCACGAACAAGTCCGCGTCGAAGAGTTCCTCCAGCCAGAAAGAGCGCGCGCAGACAACGCAGCCGCTCAGGGCGCGGCAGGTGGTCGGGGCGGTCTGCCGGCTCTCGAAGTGCCCGGCCCACGCACCCCCCGGTCGGCTCTGCGTCTGGTTCTCCGCGAAGCGTCCGAGCGCGCGGCGCTGCTCGGCGCCCCGGACCTCGAAGGGGCCCTCCAGCTGTTCGTCCGCAAGGATTCTCTTTCGGACCTCTTCCTCCACTCGCCGCGGCGCCAGCAAGCCCCGCTCGGCCTCGGGCAGGTTCACGTGCTCCTCGCGCCAGTGCTCCTGCAACAACTGCTTCGTGGCGAAGTCCTGGCCGCAGAGGTAGCACGGGCACGGCTGGCAGCACACGGGCTCTCTGGGCCATTCGCACCGGCTGCCGAGAATAGCGCTGCCAGGGATATACGCCTCGGCCTGGCGCACCGTGCCCCACAACACGTTGGCCGGGACCGCCGTCTCCCACGCGGCCATGTCCCCGGGCGAGAGCTGCCGGCGCAGCAGATGGCCGCGCTCGCCCCTGACATCCTCCAGCCGTGCGCGGCGCAGGACCTTCAAACCTTCGAGTAGAAGGCGATCGGGATCGTCGGCCCTCCTGGTCGAGGGCCTCACGTTCAGGTGGCCATGCTCCTCGTAGTGGGCCTGCAACTGCTGGCGCAGAGGGTCCGCCTGCCAGGTGGGCCGCTGCGCCTCCGGGATCCTGTCGAGCAGCTGCTGCCACCGCGCCACGTCGCCCGGCAAGAGCTGCTCGCCAGTGGAGGCGCTGGCGTACCTTCGGGCCATCGCGCTGTGCAAATAGCGGCGCGCCCAGAGGTCGTCGCCGCCGAGGTCTGCTGCCTCGGCGGGCCAGCCTCCGCGCCGCTGGAGGCACTCGCCCACCACGCGCAGGCGCAGATCCTCCGGACAAGATCTGACTAGCAGCTCATCCCGCAGCGCGTCGACACCTTGCGGCCTCAGGATATCCCTCTGCGTCGCGCGCATACCCCAGACCTTCGCCTCGTGCAACGCGGCCATGGAGCTCCACGTGCGCCTGCGAAGCGCCTCCCTGCGATCGGCGTCCATGGCGGTCGCCGTGCCCGGGGCCCGCTGTCGGGTCTGTCGCACGGCCTCCAGGACGTCTTCCACGACCTGCATTTGCTTCCTCTTGCGGGTAGGGACGTTGAAGGCACTCGCCGCCTCCCCCAACCAGTCGTCATCGAGCGCTTTCCCCGCCTCGATCTGTCTCAGCCGTTCCGAGCGCCGGGCGCTCTCCAGGTCGTAGCGGCTGCGCGTCAGGCGCCCTCGCAAGTCATCCGTGGCCAGAGAAATCAGCAGGTCCTTACACGCGTCCTCGTTGCGCTGGTTGCAGTTGGAGTAGTCTCTACATTCCACCTGCGGCCCTTCGTCCGCGGCGGCCGTCCTCTTCCTGCGGCCGCGCTTGCCCCTGCCTCCCGCGAGGCCCCAAAAATCAGCAGCGTAGCGGGAAGCGGCGAAGTCGGACGCCGCAGGGCGCTTCCGCGCCAGCATGGCGCCCGGCGAAGCCGCCCGGCTGACCCTGGGGGTGCAATCGCCAGACGGCCCCGGGGCCGCGCGGCTGACCCTGGGGGTACACGCGCCACGCGGCCCCTCCGCGGGCAAGCGCGCGCCCGCACGGGAGTCCCCCGGCTGACCCTGGGGGTGGCGGGGAGCGGCGAAGTCGGACGCCGCAGGGCGCTTCCGCGCCAGCATGGCGCCCGGCCGGCGAAGCCGCCCGGCTGACCCTGGGGGTGCAATCGCCAAACGGCCCAGGGGCCGCGCGGCTGACCCTAGGGGTACACGCGCCACGCGGCCCGTCCGCGGGCAAGCGCGCGCCCGCAGGGGAGTCCCCCGGCTGACCCTGGGGGGGCAAGCGACGCGCGGCCCCGCCCGCGGGCGCGGAGAGCCACTCGAACAACGGAAGTTGGAGGAGGAGGAGGAGGAGGAGGATATAGAACCGCATGCGTGGAAACGTTTTCACGACACGGGAAGGGAGCCAGCGCGAGTTTTCAACGAATCGGCGTGCCGAAATCATGGCGACTGGGAGCGCGCGACGGCTGGGCAACGTTTTCGCGGCACTTTTCTGGGCGACGTGTTAGGGGCTGTGCTGTGCAGGGACGTGACTTGCTGGGTTGAGATGTGCCGTGCTGCGTTGAATCGCGCCGTGCTCCACTTCGTTGTGGGCCAAGTCGCCCTTGGCATCCGAATCGTGGCCGAACTGATCTGGATCTTAAACTCAACCTGCCTGGCCCCCGCGCTGGCCCGCGCGGCGCCCCCGGGCTGGCGACTCGCGGGGTTGATCGACCAACTCGAGCTAAAGATCCAAATCAGTTCCGACGCGCCGAAGCGCGGCCCAGGCCCCGAAACTCTGGCGTTTCGAATCAATCGGACTGATACGGTGATCTCGTGCGCTCCCTGACCACGCACTCGCCCTGGCGGCGCCGGCCCACTCCAGCTCAATATCCGAATCAGGTCCGACGCGGGAAGGGAGCCAGCGCGAGTTTTCAACGAATCGGCGCGCCGAAATCATGGTGACTGGGGGCGCGCGACGGCTCGCAAGAGAAGCGCCCCCGCGCGCTCCGGCGGACCCCGCGGGCGCAATGCCCCGAATGGAGGAAGACCGGGCTGACCCTGCGGGTGCAATGCCCGGCGAGAGAAGGAGAGGCAAATGGGGGGCCGGCTGACCCTGAGGGTGCAATATCGGGCAGGGAAAGAGCGAGGACGGGGGGCTGACCCTGAGGAATGCCCAGCGAAAGGAGCGGAGAGGCGAAGGGGTGGCCGGCTGACCCGGAGGGTGCAATGCCGGGCAATGCAAAAAGCGAGGACGGGGGCCGACCCTGAGGGCGCGATGCCCAGCAGCGAGGGGGGCGCGGGGCCGACGGAAAAATACAAGGCTGGCCCTGACGGCGAAGCGCCCCCGCGGGCGGCAGCCACGGCGCGCGCCCAGCAGGTAGACGGCGTCGTGGCGCGCGTGATTGGCCCCCTTGCACTAGGGTCGACCGAGCCTACGAATCGCCGGACTCCTACTTGGTCTCCTGGACGCACCGGACTTTCGTAGGCGTCTCAGTGATCAACTCCTTGGCCGGCCGCTTTCCCGCGAGCGACGTCTTCTTCGACACCAACAGTTCGCGACAGCCCTTGAGCTCCTCCTTGAAAGTGCTGCGAACGTCCGGCATGTCCTTGCACGAGAAAATGTTCTCGGCCACGAGCGTCCACGCGAGGTTGGATCCCTGCGGGCGGCCGACGACGAGGTAGTCCACGTCCTCCTCATCCATGAGCGACGCGCCCGCCCGACTCTTGGGCACCAGCATCTCCAGGCGGAACGGGGCGGGGTCGTCGGCGCCGTCCGCGACAGTGGACACGACCTCCTCGTGCGTGATCTCTTCCATGTCGCCGAGGTCCGCGCGCGTCGGCTCACCCCGGGCGCGCGCCAGGACCATGACGCACTCGGCGACGCAGCCGGTCTGCTTGCACTTGGCGGTGGACAACGTGTCCGTCAGGTCCGTCGCGAGGTTGGAGACCGGAAGGACGGCGCCCGCGCCGTGGTCTGCGACGAGCGACAACACTTGCTTGAGGGCGGGCCGCCGGGGCGCGCCCCAGGGCACCATCAGCGCTGGCGTCACCTTCAATATGGCGAAGTTGCACTCCGCGCGAGCGTCGTCCGACCGGCTCTGCTTGGCCTGCGATAGCCTGGCCACCTTCTCACGGTTGGCGCCGAGGACGACGTCGCATCGGACCTGGAAGCACATGCCTGCGACAGTGCGCTGCTCTATCAACTGCTGCAACTCGTCGAGGTTCGCGACGCCGGCGAGCGCGACCAGGCTGTTCTCGTCCGCCAAGATGTCGTCCATGCCGCCCGTGAAATCCCCCAGGGTCACAGAGCTCAAAGCGGATTTGTTTGTGTCTGGCTCTGGCCGGTGCTTCATGAAATGCTTGCAGTTGCCCTCCGGGTTGATCTTGGTGCGGCAGTGCTTGCACTTCGTGTACACGGGGTCGGGGTTGGAGACGCCCGTGAGCCACGCGCCGTGCACCTCTACCTGCACCTCGGCGGGCAGTGGCCGGCCCCCGGAGACGGGCGACTGGGTGGATGCCTCCATCACGGCGTTCGGCGGGCTTGCTGCGTCGGCACTTTCCGTCCACGAGAGGGAGCAGGTCTTCAATGTGCGCAGGCAAGTCTTGTACAAACCCTGCTTCGGGCTCTGCATGCGCACCACCGCGCCGCTCGGGGCCCACACCGCAGACATGCGTTCGCCCACCGTGGCGCTCAGGGCTCTCAGCTCCTCGGCCTTCTGGTGGCGCGGCTGCAAATGCGCCCAAGCGCATGCGTTCTGGGAATCCTTGAAGAACTCGGCAGTCAGGTGGACCTGGCCGGACTCCTTCCTCACGACGCGCGCGTTCTCCACCTGCAACACAACGGGGTCTGCCTCTTCCTCAACGTCGCCCAGGCCGTGGGCCCCCTTCACCATGTCGTAGAACGTGTCGCCCCACAGCTCCACGAGAATCGACTTGCCGCTCTCCTCGTCCTTCAGCCAGACCTCGACCTTTTTGATCGACGCCACTGCCCTCTGCTCCACCACGCGGCCCACGACGTCTACTCGATCCCCGTCGTTGCACATCCCCACGTCGCGCAGGCCCCCGCGAGGCGCCACGGGCCCCGAAGGTAGCTGGGAGGCGTCGGCGCCCGCCAGGGCAACGCAGCGCACGTTGGACTTCGGGTTCAGGTTGATCACGCGGCCGCCGCTGTAGTACGAGCTGCTCTTCACCGTCACGTTGCTGAATGTCCCCGCCTTGCCCGGGAGGTACAGGCGCGCCTTCATCAACACGTCCTGGGTAGACTGGCCAGTGAGCTCGAACCAAATGGGTGCACCAGTGTGGTCGAGGAAACGCCCCACGCCCTTCGCGAAATGCTGCACTTGCTTCGCCTCGAAGAACACGCACTTCAGTCGAGCGGTGTACCCCGGGGCTGGCCTGTTGAGCGGGAACGCGGCAATCGACTTCTGCAAGGCCATCAGCACGCGCCGGGCAGCCAAGGGGCCGCGCGGCTGACTCTGGGAGTGCAAAAGCCGCGCGGCCCCTTTCGTGGACGTGCGCGTTAGTGTCGCGCCCGCGCGCTCCCAGCCACGAGCCAAAAAACAAAAACGGAGGACGACGGCGGAATGCAGGAAGATGAGGATGAGGACGGTTGGGGCTTGCTCCGTGGCGATTCAGTTCCAAAAGCGGTGCGACGGGCAACAGGCACGGTGCAGATATCGACGGCGCCGACGCGCCGACCTCGAGAACGCACGGCCCAACGGAGAGAGGGTGGACATGGGCTGACCCTGAGGGTGCACTGCCCGGCGGAGAGGAGGAGAGGCGAACGGGGGGGCCGGCTGACCCTGAGGGTGCAATGCCGGGGCAGGAAAAGACCGAGGACGAGGGCTGACCCGGAGGGTGCAATGCCCGGCGGCGAGCAGGAAAGGATAACGGTGAGACCGGCTGACCCTGAGGGTGCAATGCCGGGGAAGGAAACGCGCGGGGGCGGGGGCTGACCCTGGGGGTGCACTGCCCAGCGGAGAGGAGGAGAGGCGAACGGGAGCACGGCTGACCCGGAGGGTGCAATGCCGGCGCAGGAAGACAGCGAGGACAGGGGCTGACCCCGAGGGTGCAATGCCCGGCGGAGAGGAGGAGGCCGACCCGGGGGCCGGAATCCTAGGGCGGTGCGGGAAAACGACAAGGCTGCTGGCCTACTCAGAAACCCAGGGCGCGGAGCAAAGAGGCAAGCTCGGATCTGCCGCAAGCGCCTGCACGGCGCCCTCCTTGGACAATTTCTGCCGCTCCAAGACAGCCCAAGAGGCCCCCAAGATCGCCCCAAGACGACCCAAGACGGCCCCACGACGACCCAAGAGGCCCCCAAGACGGCCCACGAGGCCCCGAGGACGGCTCCAAGAGGGAGCCCATACGGGGGACCCGAACGAACATATCCAGCCCTCCGCCAGAAGGGCGCCCAGGAAGCCCCAACGAGGCTCCCAAGAGACCCCAAGAGCCTCCCAAGAGGCCGCCGAACTACCCCCGAGAGGCTCCCGAGAGCGCTCGTCGTCGTCGTCGTTCAGGGTCGGCGGCACCGGCCGCAAGGCCTCTCCAACAACAGTTCGTCGCAAATGCACAAAGATATTTGAGCCAAGAGCCAAAATGGCTACGACATGTTCAATACAATATTAAAGCAAGCGACGATTGCAATACGCCCCAGCACCCGGGAAGGACCTCTTGGGGGCCGCCTTGGGGTGGCATTCCTAAGGAGCTGTCGCCGTGTATGTCTATCCCCGTATTCTGAATCGGGACCGGCCCTGGGCCGGTCGGGGCGTCTTGGGGGTTTCTCTGGGGCATGCTGGCGGGCTCCGGGGTTCCTTTGGAGCGGAGGGCTCGAAAACTCAAATCCAGTTCCCCCTCTTGGGGCCTTCCTGGGGCCCTTTTGGGGCGTCATGGGATCCTCATGGGGGCCTTGGGCTCTTGGGCCGTCTTGGGGCGACCTTGGG